AAAAAAAAAAAAAAATATATATATATATATATATATACTAAGAAAAAAAAGAGAAAAGGATCTCACTAAAAATGTAGGGGTGCCCAGAGGCGGAGCCAAAATTTGAATTTATGGGTTATGAACTTGCCAAAAGCCATAGCTTGTTTTAGTTGTTGGGTTCGCAATGAAATATTTATATATATTTAATGGATTTCCTAATAAAATATAGGGTCTAAGCAAAAGTTGATGAGTTCGTCCGAACCTTTTAGTAGTGCACTAGCTCCGCCCCTGCTAGTGCCATGTCCCTTCCATACCGTAACTGAATCTTTTTTATGAGCTTATCCGTGTCCTCCCAATTCCTGCTACGCAGTCCCTCAGCCACTCAGTTAGAGGTCAATTCCCTAATAAGCAATCTTTAAAAAGTTTTGCTAAGCTCCTGGACAGTAGTAGAAGCAGTTGGTATTCATTTGAGGATGAGTGCCTCTTCGTGGGACAGTTCAGTGTCAACCGTCTTAGATGAGTCTAATGGGATGCAGATTTTTCAGATATGAGGCTTGAGTCAAAGGTTGTCACTGTATCATATGCATTGTGATACATGAGCTGTTCCTTTTATTATATGTATAGGTTATGATGCTTTTCCTAGGTTCCTAGATTGTCAATCACTTGTCCATTATCTAGATTGGTTCTGCTGTGTTGGCAAAAGCATGAGATTTATTCTTGGTCTGGGAACTAGTTCTTCTTTAACTTTCAGCTTTTCATCTCAATATTTTCTTCCGTTCAGGTTGATGTTATTGGCGTTGGTTGCTATTCATCAAAAGATTTGTGGATGTGGAAAAATGAAGGCATCGTTTTGGCAGCGGAAGAAAACGATGAGACACATGATTTGTACAAATTAAATATACTGGAGAGGCCAAAAGTAATTTACAATGAGAAAACAGGTAAATACGTAATGTGGATGCATATTGATGACACAAACTACACGAAAGCTTCAGCTGGTGTCGCCACTAGCGACTTTCCCACTGGTCCCTTTGATTATCTGTACAGTAAACGGCCCCACGGATATGATAGCAGGGACATGACAGTCTTCAAAGATGAGGATGGTATAGCATATCTCGTCTACTCCTCGGAGGACAACAGTGAGCTTCATATCGGTCCACTTAACGAAGAATACATAGACGTGACCCAAGCCATGAGAAGGGTTCTTGTCGGACAACACAGGGAAGCCCCTGCTTTGTTCAAACACGGCGGGACCTATTACATGATCACATCAGGTTGCACTGGTTGGGCTCCAAATGAGGCCCGGGCTCATGCAGCTGAATCAATTTTGGGGCCGTGGGAGACCATTGGAAATCCATGCATCGGTGGAAACAAAGTTTTTAGAGACACAACTTTCTTTGGTCAGAGCACATTTGTGCTTCCTTTGCCTGAGCTACCTGGTTCCTTTATTTTTATGGCAGATAGGTGGAATCCAGCTGACTTAAGGGATTCAAGGTATGTGTGGCTACCTTTAAGAGTAGCAGGGCCTGTGGACCATCCTCTTGAGTACAATTTTGGTTTCCCTTTATGGTCCAGAGTCTCTGTTTATTGGCATAAAAGATGGAGACTTCCTTATAGGTGGCAGGGGAAAAAGTGAGTAGGGGATACAGGGAATCATTTGTACAATATGTTCTCCATTTTTTTGTTTTTCCATAATTTTGTTGTTGTTGTTGTATTATTTTTTTCAATTTAAAAATTAACCAGTTCTATGCTCAATAACAACAGGTGTAAATTTTTAGGGTTTGAACTGCTATGCCTAATTCTCATCCTGGGCATCTGTATCGTAATACTGTATAATTTTTAGAGCTAGAATTACTATTGTTGAGTGAAACCAGCTTGGACTTCTTGTTTGGGCTGGCGTGGAATTCTCTTTTCCTTTTAGTTTTTATGTCTCGATGTGTAACTTTATTAGAATTTATCCGAATGCTATTACTGAAAGTGCTATATTACCGGTTAATACTTAATAGTTTAACACAAGAAGGAAAAAATGTAAAGCTTCATCTGTGCGAAGAGAGAGAGAATCCGTTTACACTTGTGAAAGGTTTCGGGGCATTGTCATATATACCCACTTTTAGGGTCATCAATTGAAGTTATACTCGCATTACACAAATTTTTGCAAAGTGTACTTGCTCGGATCTGAAGTAGTTCAATTTTTTTAATGCAACTTTAGAAATTCAAATTTAAAGTAGTTTAATCTCTTCAATGCAACTTTAGAAATTCGAATTTTAAGTAGTTCAATCCATTGAATGCAACTTTAGATTTCGTATCTTAAATTCTGAAACATAAATTTGTTCTTCAAATTTCAACAATCCAATACACGATTTAATGCCCAAATCTACTCCAAATGAGCTCAAATTTGAAACATAACTTTTAAATATCAAAAAGAACAAGTCTCAATCAAATCATTAAACAACAACAAATTTAACAAACCTATTTTGCAACTAAAAAGAAGAAGAAACTCTAAGCACAAAGAAGAAGAAAGCAACAGTAAAGAAGAAGAGAAAAATATATGTAACTAAAGTTATCCAAAAAATTGAGTATTAGTTGAATTTTTTTTAAAAAGTGGATACAAATTCAATGGGTGGCGCAAAACTGGGTGCCACATGAAAAATTAAGAAGATTTCTGCTTTGATCCGATGAATAGGACAGACTTATCCATTAAAAGAATTTTATGAGGCGACAACTTTTTATTTTCCTATATATCTAATGAATTCCATCTCACAACTATGTTAAAACTTGATTCAGGCACAGATCGTTGGGATTTTGTCTAAGATTATTATGAGGCTGTTGAGAGAAAAACAGAAGCTTCTAGGTCTTCATTACATGAACTGAGAATGACAAAAATAATCTGTCTATACAATTACTGGTCTCTCATACCCGACGGAATGGACCGGCCCAGTACTTATATTAAACCCAACTAACTACAATGTAACTAAATAAATACAAGGTGGGCTTCTGGGTCCAATAGTAAAAGAAAGAAGAGAAAAGAAGAGAGGAAGCCCAAATGGCTAAGTAACATCATTTGCTTGTATCTCAACAACCCTCGACAAGTTGGAGGGTGAGATAACCCACAAGTTGCGAAGATGTAGATGATGGACAACTCCCCCCAAAGGTTTAGTGAACATATCAACGAGCTGAGTGGAACTAGAAGTGTGAAGCAACTAAAATAGACCCCCATTCAACGTGGTACGAATAAAATGACAGTCCAATTCAATATGCTTGGTGCGCTCATGGAAAACGTGATTCTTAGCAATGTGGATGGCTGCCTGGTTATCACAAAATAGACTAACATGGGTAGGGGTGTTCAAAACTGATCCGAAACCGAAAACCAAACCGAACCGAAGCTTAATGGCTTACTGGTATCGGGTAACGATTTAACGGACGGGGAACAGATTGAAATTTTTTTATTAACGNTATATATTAAATATAAAAAAGACAAAACCCGTGACCCTTCCACTTCCAGAGAGTTCCAGTACTCTGTCTTAGTGTCTCTAAGACTAACGCTTAACGCCTAAACCTAATTCCTAAATAATCAAAAAGACAGAATCACAGAAACCCTAACGCCTAAACCAGCAGACACCAATCTTCGTCGACTTCCATCACTCTATCTTGTGACTCGCCATCTCCGGTCTCCCTCTCGCCATCTCGCCTCTCCCTCTCGCCATAGCCAGAGCAGTAGTCAGCAGATGGTAATATGCATGCCATATGCTAGCTGAACTTTAGCAATTTATCTGTCCACCATTAGACTTTGTAATCTAATACCATTATTTATGTAGTTAGGAAAAAGTCTATTTCTGCACCTAACGCCTAATGAAGCTCCAACTGAGGATAATTTTAAATTATATAAAAAAAAATTAGGGAAAATTTTGGACTTTTTTTTTCGAAAATTTTGAACACGTGGAAGTTGGAAGTCACTCATTTCAGTCTAAAGATTCATAATGGCAATAGTGTATACCAAGATTTTCTAATGGCAAAATTGTGAATGGACCAAATTGAACACTTCCAAATAATGCTAAGGCTTGTTGAGTGTGATTTTACTCTCAAAACCAAAAGTTTCCACAAGCAAGCAGTCCCTCTGTCGATGTAAAGTTATGGCGATGTACATATCCAGGTGGTAAAATTTAATCCAAGATTTTCAAAACAAATAAAGGAGAATATGTTGATACCCAATTTTTCCTCACATATTTTAAGCACATATATATACTTTCAAAATAGTACATATGCAGTTATAAGCATGCATAAGTATTTTTTATACTAATGTATAATTACATTATTTATGCATAAAATAATCTTTTATATTTTTAAAATGTTAAATAACTATTTTAAATTATTTTAGTACATAAAAATATTTTTGGTACTCATATTATTTTTTATAAATTATTTAGTTATTAAAAATGGCTATTTAAAATCTGGCCTTATTTTATTTCAATTTTGGCCTTAATTTTGACCCAATACCCAGCCCAATTTTAACCTAAACCTACCCAGCCCAACTAAATCTAAACTGACCCGGCCCCAGTCTCATTTAATCTCGGTCGTTGATCATAGAGATCAACGACCACAATTAGCCCCTTCCTTTTTTTAGTCCCAAACGACCCCCCCCAAACCCTCTCATTCCACACCATCTGCCGCCCTGAAATCCCTTTCCTCTCCAAAAGCTCCCAAGCCCTAACCCTAATTTACCCCCATCGCCGGTCGTCTACTGCCTTTCATGGTGTTTCCCCACCACCACCAGGCCTCTAATGGCCTCCCTCACGCTGGTATCACCATCTCTAAGGTCCTCGAGGGACCAGGGTCAGTCCGCTTGCATCAATGGCCCTTTCTCGCTTGTTTCAGGCTATTCTAGTTTGGTTCCGAGTAAGATCTTCCTATATCGTCATGAATCTAGGGGTTTCGAAGCTGGCTTCTTCATCTATGTGATTGTTCTTCTCGAAACCCTAATTTCTTCAGTCTGAACTTCTTAGATCTGTACAGATCTAAGATGGTTTTGACCTATTTCATATGAGTTTTACATTAATCTTTTGATGTTTCACAATAACTGTCTGATTTTCGAAAGATCTTTCATTTTTCTCTAAACTAGGGTTTCAAAAAATTTCTTTTTCCAAAACATTTGATGATTTGTGTGTTTAATCTTCTATTTCTATATGTTTTAACCGATTTCGTTAGGTTTGCTCTAACTTCAACTCGTTTATACTAAAAGCCCTAATTTTTTCAACATTCTTTGTTTGGTTTCTGAGTACTTGCGTACTGACTTTGTTCTTGCCTTGGTTCTTGTGATTTTTCTTTAGCCATTTAGATGTCTCGTGGTTTTCTTATCCTAATATGCCTCTACTGAGTTTCTTAGCTCAACTTTTCTACTAAATCTATATGTTTATGTTCATTCTGACTATTCATGTTAAGACTACATTTTTCTCCTTAAATCAGGGTCATTTTCTTGATTTACCAATTTGTTTCGTTATAACTATGTGTCGAATCCTGACTATTCATTTCTTGAATTATTTTTGTCTGCGAAAACTTGCTGACTCTTTACGTGATTTTCTCTTTGATTGAACCCTTGACTATTCTGACGTTCTTATTTCCTGGTTTGATTCAAACTCTTTTTCTTAATGAAACTTTTGATTCTTACCTCTCTACTCGGTTTGATTGAACATCTTGCCTTAATTAGTTTTCCCTTGCCTTATTTGTTATTTGCTGATTCTTATAGATTGTTTCCTTAATTGAAACTTCTGTTCATTTACCCCTAATGTAACAACCCGACCAGTCATTTTGAGCTTTTGCACTTTGCTCTCCAGTTCTCAGGCATGACTAGCCTCATGTGATGTATTATGACTTATGTAAATCATTGATTTTTGTTTTCAGGGTAATCAGAATGTATTTGGAAGAAAAGTTCTCAGTTTAAAGCTTAAAGTTTGAAAGGTTTGACGAGTTTTGACTTGTTAGCATATGACCTCGGATTGAAATTTTTATGATTTGGTTAACTCCGTTAGGTGATTTGGGACTTAGGAGCATGGTCGGAATGTGTTTTGAAGGTCCGGAATAGAGTTAGGCTTGAATTAGCGAAATTGAGATTTTGGCGTTTTCCGGTTGATATGTGAGATTTTGATATAGGGGTCGGAATGGAATTCCGGAAGTTGGAGTAGGTCCGTTGTGTCATTTATGACGTGTGTGCAAAATATCAGGTTATTTGGACTATGTTTGGTAGACTGTTTGATCGAAAGCGGAATTTGAAAGTTCTTGGAATTCTTAAGCTTGAATCCGATGTGATTTTGGTATTTTGATGTTGTTTTGAGCGTTCCGAAGGTCGGAACAAGCTTGAATGAGGTTATGGGATATGTTGGCATATAAGGTTGAGGTCCCGAGGGCCTCGGGTGAGTTTTGGGTGGTTAAACAGATCAAATTGCATGTTGAAAAGTTACAGATTTTAACTTCAGTTCTATTGCAGGTATTCTTTCTTCGCGATCGCGTGAGGAGGCTCGCGATCGCGTAGAGCTTTTGTAGGGGGCAGTCCAGGTTGTTCTTCGCGTTCGCAAAGTTGGAGCTGCGATCGCGTGAGGCTGTGAGGTTATTGTTCGCGAACGCGTATGGTAGGTCGCGTTCGCGTAAGGTTAAGTGGACCAGAGGTTGACCATGAGTTTGTGCATCGCGAACGCGGTCCTTTGTTCATGATCGCGTAGTTGTAGTATGTCTGACCATGGCGTTCGCATGGTAGATGACGCGTTCGCGTAGAGTAAATTTGGGATCTAGGAAGCTTGTGCTTCGCGATCGCGATGGAGGTCCCACGATCGCGATCAAGAGATTTTAAGTGCTGGGTAGAATGTTTTAAAAGGCCATGTCCACGATTTTAGGTCTAACTTTCACCATTTTTGAGCGATTTT